TGACAGTGCTGCGCTGAAGAATTATTCCCCCTGTGTTGCGGCGTGCGGTGCGGTGGGGACTAGGGCTGAGCCTTGCCCGTGTCTGACCTGGGGAAACCGGCATCGTGGCGGGATGGTCCGTGTGCCACCGAACCCGGTGAGCCGGCGGGGACTCGCTTCACTCCGCACCGTCTTGTTCTCGGTGGCCCAGTTTGAAAATTCAACGGGATGAGTTTAGGGTGTTGGGGTCCGCGCTTGCTCCCGCGCTTCTGCTGTTTCAGGTGCTGTCAAGGTTCTGTGTTGCCTTCCCGCAACGGGGCCCTGCCCGAGGGGGAGCATCGTCCTGCTGCTTCCCTCGGCAGAGAAGGGACGGAAGCTTTTCGGGAGCTGCCCGTGGTGCGGGGCAGCGGACCCTGGCTGGGCGTGGGGCATCCTTCCCTCCGCTCCCATCACCGCTGCCGGGCCGACGCCTCTGGGCTTTGTCCCTGTGCTGTTCCCGGGACTAATAATACCCAGGAGGAGGCGGCGAGCTGCCGGCAGCGCCTCTGTCCCGAGCGCGCTCCGGGAGCGATGCTGAGCCCACTCCGGGGAGCGCGTCCTCCCACGGCCGCCTGGCACATGCCCGGGGCTGCTGCCGCCTCCTCGCTGCGCCGTGCTGGCCCCGGTGCCTCCAGCACAGCCTGGCTACCTGCTGGCTTTCCCAGTGTCCTTCCTTATAGCCCCACCAGCCCCCGGCTCAGCTCGCCCCGCGGCTTCCCTTGGGGGTGATGCAAATACCCCCGTTATTTCTGCCGCTGTGCCCAGGGGTGTCAGATCAATTTACCTTCGTTTAGTTCTGTTCCTAAGCACAGGTGTTTGCCCTGGATTTTGTCATTTGGGGGAAAGAAAATTCTCCTTGAAACGGGGTTGATGATTGCAAACTGGATTTTTACCCTTTTCTCGCTTGTACCCCTTTTCCCCAACCTGTGGGGAGACCCAAAACCTGCTGGGTCTGGCACGGGCTCCGTGCAGGGTTTGCTCTCCAGGGAGGATGCTCCGAGCAGGGTGGGAGCCGCAGAAGCCCCAGCTCTGGAATAAGCCTCCTTTGAAGTCTGGGATGTCACTTAATCTTACTGCTTTTGTTGAGGTTTGTTCCATTTTATGGAATAATAAATATTGTAACATGCCAAAAATAACTGTTAAACATGAAGGGAGAAGTAAAGCTGCTTTGGGCCCTGAATTTCCAGTTTAATTCCCTTCTCAGGGAAGCTCGGACCTTCTGAAACAGGTTTAGCAGAGCCTGGGCTCTGTGGCTGGTTGTGGCTTTTCGGTGTGGCGCTGCCGTGGCAGGGAAGAGCCGGGGGTGAGGAGTGTTGCAGGGCAGGACGGCGGCGGGCGGGAGATGCTGCCCTTAGAGGCTTGGCAGCAGCTCGCCCGCTGCCACACCAAGGGCGGACGCTCCTTGCGGAGGACTTGGGGGCATCCCGGGAGGAGAAAGTGGCCGGGCTGGGGCCGCCTCGTGCCCTCGTGCTCAGGGATGCCGGTGGTGCGGGCGAGCAGCAGCGCTGCGGTCCTGGGCGTTGCTCCGAAGCCCTCCCGTGTGCCACGTCTGCAGCGCACAGCTCGGCCTGAGCCCAGCCCCGGTGCCACTTCCCTGCCCGGCACGGCACCGTGGCGCTGGCAGAGGTCACGTAGGCAGAGCAGGAGCCGGTGCCGGCGGCGGAGCGTCCCGTGGCTGCAGCAGCACTGCAGGCGCTGGCAGGGGCCCCGGTGTCGGTGCAGCGTCGAGGACAGGGAGGTGCCCGCCCTGGCACCGTCCCACTGTCCCCCGTGCCCGACTGGCAGACGCAAACCGGTGGAGGGGATGGTGTGCGGCCCCAGGGCTGGCAGCAGGGCCCTGCCTGTCCTTGCGGGCAGCGATGGGCAGCAGCGGGCAGGGACTCGGCAAAGGCTGCGGCAGCAGAGGAGGTG